TGCTGACCTAAGGAATGCCAATATTGTCACCATTTTTAAAAAGGGACATAAGTCTGACAGGAAACTATCAAGGTATCACCCTCATCTCCATCACTGGAAAGATCTTTGCTCAAATTCTGCTGAACTGACTGCTCTCTCTTGCTGAGGAAATCCTTCCCAAGTCTTAATGTGGCCTCAGACTGTTCAGAGGCACCGTGGACATGATTTTTGTGGTCTGGCAGATCTAGGAAAAATGCCAGGAACTGTATATTTTTTTTTTTTTTTTTTTACTTTTCATTCCATCCATTCCAGACACACCGACTGCTGAAACTTCCTTAGTTTGACGAAGGGTTTTTGAACCCGAAAGCTTGTTTAATAAATATTCTCCAACTATTTGGGTTGGTCTAATAAAATATCAAATTCACCCAAGGAAGCTCGTCTGCCGAGGAACTGTATATGGCATTTATTGATTTGACCAAAACCTTCAACTGCGTTAACTATGAGGTTCTATGGAAGATCTTATCAAAGTTTGGCTGCCCTGGGAAATTTATCACCATTCTTAAATTCCTTCATGACTTGATGACTACCTCCATCCTATGCAGTGGCTCTACAACGGAGCCCTTTGCCATTTGAACTGGGATCAGGCATGCAGAAGCCTACAGACAACATAAAATCAGTCCCGAACAGGTGAGGGTCCTCTTAGAACAACTGGATGCTTTCAAGTCCACTGGGCCATATGACCTACATCCAAGAGTCCTGAAAGAACTGGCTGAACTCATAGCAGGGCCTTTGGTGAAGACTTTCAAAAAGTGGTGGAAGTTGGGGGTGGTCCCGGATGACTGGAAGAGGGCCAATGTGGTGCCCATCTTTAAGAAAGGGAGGAGGGATGACCCTGCAAACTACAGACCAGTCAGTTTGACTTTGGTCCTAGGAAAAAGTTTTGAAAAAATTGTTAAAGAGGCCATCAGTCACGAGCTTGTAACTGACAGGGTATTAAGAAACAACCAGCACAGCTTTGGGGAGGGTAGATCGTTCCTAACAAACCTGGTGTCATTTTATGACCAGGTAACTTACCAGCTGGACAAGAGACATGAGGTAGACATCATTTATTTAGATTTCAGTAAGGCCTTTGATTCTGTCTCCCATGAAATTCTCTCAGTTAAACTGGAGGGTACTGGTCTGGACCAGCCTACAGTGAAGTGGGTGGATAACTGGTTTAGAGGCCAATCCCAGAGTTGTAATCGATAGGATGGCCTCATCCTGGAGGACTGTCTCCAGTGGTGTCCCACAGGGATCGGTGCTTGGACCCGTGTTTTTTAACATTTATTAATGGTTTGGATGAGGGGGTGGAATGCTCTTTGATTAAGTTTGCGGACGATACCAAGCTGTGGGGAAATGTGGGCACACCAGAGGCTAGGGTAAAGATCCAGGGCAACAATGACAGACTGATTCTATGAGCTGATCAGAATCAGATGAGGTTCAACAGGAAAAAGTGCCATGTCCTTCATCTGGGTAGGAAGAACCTTCACGACAATTATAGGATAGGCAGTAGCCCAGTGGCTGGCACAGCAGCTGAATGGGAGCTGGTGGTCACAATCGACTAGGAGATGAATATGAGCCAACAGTGCAAGGACAAATAGAACTCTGGTGTGCATCTGCCGACGTGTTACCAACAGATCCAAGGAGGTGCTTTTCCCTCTCTCCTCAGCGTTGGTGAGGCTGCAGCTAGAGTACCATGGGTACCACACTTCAAGAAGGATGCAGATAAATTTGAGAGTATGCAGAGAAGGACCAGCTGTGTGATAGGGGCCTGGAGAATAGACCTTATGAAGAGAGACTTGAGGAGCTGGGCTTGTTCAGTCTGGGCAAGAGGAGACTGCAAGGTGATTTGATAGCAGCCTACAAGTATGTTGGGGCAACACCAAGATCTGGGGGAGCAGCTCTTCAGGAAGGCACCCCTTGGGAGGATGAGGACCAATAGTCACAAACGAATAGAGGGAAGATTAGGCTAGACATAAGGAAGAATTTCTTCTCTGTAAGGGTAACTAGAAACTGGAACACACTCCTGGCAGAGGTGGTGCAGTCGCCATCCCTGGAGGTGTTCAGGAGGAGGCTGGATAAGCACCTCTTTGAGCTAGTTTGAGCTCGTGGACAAGTGGGGGTCAGCGGAAACACTTCAAGGACACCCCTAAGCAAAAATTAAGAAGTATGGCATTGGCACCACAAATTGGGGAAAAACTAGCCCAGGACAGGGCGACAGGGCAATGCCTTGTGAGAGAAAGTACATCTTGCTGTGAGGAACACCATCTTGTCCTGGAGGCAGAAAAATGACAGAAACAGAAGGGAAGGAAACAAGACTGTGAAATCCGTGATCTGACCCTCCCTTTAACCACCACCTGTGGCATTTGCCAGAGAGTGGAGGATTGGCCTTCTTAGCCATTGAGGGACTCGCTTACCACCCTTTACTTGACCCATGGGAGTGATCATCCTTGAGTGTAAGGGACTGCCGCCGCTGATATGCCAATATGATAATAACTGTACATATGGCAATGATGATGCTACCACAGTGTTAATACCTCTGCGGCTTTGCCTCCATGTTTATATTCTGTGTACATGTTCTATAGCAACTCTTATTTGCCAAACCTTTCTTTTCACTCAAGATAATTTTTTAAAGGAAATTCTGTGGTGGTTATCCTCTTCTGAGTTCCTATTGGAAGCCTGCCACTATTAAGTCCTGACCCTTTTACAGAGTTTGTGTAAATTGGCCTTATATTCCTTGTTGTCTCTAGAGATCAATTCAGTTTAGTAGTTTAACGATATGAGTCTTCACCCTGATGCCTCTTTGCCATTCTGATTTTCCTAATGTGTTTTTAAAGCCTGTTTGTATTGTGGCTATTTAGGTTCCTTGCATGTATCTATTGAAGTGTCCACTTCGCTCATTTATTTTCCAGCTTCTTAGGGGTAGTTTGACAGTTTTTCCCTCTCATCTCATCTTTCTTATGTATTTTATCTATAAGACTCCTTGCAAACACTATTTTATAACAAATAAGTGTTTTCCTTTTTAGGGCACATGGCCTTGTGGAATTAGTTTGGGACTGTGAACTTATGTTGTATGTTAGACTTTTTCACTTAAGGCCTCCACCTTCCAAGCTCTTAGCTTAAAATAGTTTATATTCAGACTGCTCTTTCTGTCCCAATCTGAAATGCAGTCAAATATGTGCCTTCTAATGTGGGCAAAACGTGTATTAAGTAATGGTATTTGAATATTCACATAGCAAATTTGCTTCCATTTCATTATAGAAAGAGTTTTTCATAACAACGTAAGGAGGACCATACTGAATCAGACCAACAGGCCTTCTAGCCCAGAACCCTGTCTTCAGTAGTGGCCAGCAGTACCATATTTACCTAAATCCAGGACAATTTTGAATTTAAGATGACCCTCCAATAATTCGTTTCTGTACATGGAAAATTGATAAATTTGTTATAATTTTTCATGTACAGAATCTATTTATTGGAGGGTTGTCTGATTCATTTCTCCCATTCCTGCAGTGGGAAAAGCAGTGGCAGGGGGACAGGTAGCAGGGAGGCAGTAGTGAGGCCGGAGGTGGGGAAGTGACACGTCTTCTTCTCTGCTGCCTGCATCCCTTGATACTGGTGCCCCTTTACAACTTGCCTTCTCTCCCACAGCCTCTGTCCTGCCCCCTGCCTCCTCTGGTGCCTCTGTTGCTGCTTACCCTCCAGCACTGGCCGTACTTTAGCCACGGGTCATAGGATACATGGTTGCTCTGGCCCTTTCCTGGCCACACAGCAGTGGTGGCATCTCTGGCCCCCACTCTGGTGCTGCCACCACCACAGCCACTGCTCTATGCAGTGAGGACAGAGGCAAGGCTCATAAAGGGACTAGACAAATTCATGAAGGACAGGTCCACTGGGTGCTATTAAACAAAATGCAAGGGATCAGGCTGTGGGCTGGCGGTCCCGCTTGTGTTCCTGTTTGTCATACTCCATCCATCGTGCCAACCATTCTTGCTAGATACTTTGCATAGACGCATAAGAATGTGCAATGCCTTACTCCCAAAAGAGCTTGCGTTCTATTAATTAATTAAATATATCAGTTGATTACCTTCACTTTGCACTGTTTTGTTCTGCACCCATGGCATTCTAGAAGCATACATAAACTTACAAACACAGGGGGGGAAAAAGCATGTCACACACAAATGCATGATAGAGCTACCATGTTACTGTAGGAAGCTCAGGTAAATTAGCATATGACTTTTACCAGAGTTTTTCCATGCTCATTTGAGTACTACCTCTCCAAATACATTATATATCAGAGAATAGCAGCCGGATGCAAATGGAATATTTGTCAAGTAAAGTTATGAATGAGGTGGATAGCCCTAGGTTGGTTGAATGGCATAGGTTACTAACAGACAAGGCTGCATTTCAGTCAACAGGAAGGTGAAAATAGGGAGAGAGAGAAACATATCTGTAGTTACATTTTTCTTTTTCCTGCTATGTTTCTAGATGCTCCTGTTAGCTCAGTTGCCCTTCGAAAATCTGGGAATTATGTCATTACCCTGGGAACTAGGTTTGCTGCTTTAAAATGGAATGACCGGTCAGTAACCACCATTATGGAAGTTGACAAGGATAAACTAAACAACAGATTCAATGATGGGAAAGTGGACCCGGAAGGAAGATATTTTGCAGGTATGTCAATTATAACATCTCTCCCAATACTCCTTGGTAGATTATAGGGGCAATTTGTAAAGACCCTTGCTAAACGTGATGGGTGTCAGTCTTTCAAGTGGTAGTGGCCATTTTGGTTTTCAAACTAATTGGATTCTAAAATGCAATATTAATTAAATTCCCTTTTAGGAAAAGCATTACCAAGAATCGTTTTTTATTTAAAAATAAAAAATAAAAGGGGCCTTCTGGTTTAAGAAATTTTAAGAATTTGCCAGGTATTAAACTCCTTTTCTCTGACTAACTATACTTTCAAAGTAGCAGACAGCTTTCCTGTAAAGGTTTCCTTATGCTGTTGTTTCTGTAAACTGAAGTAGAGAAAATTCAAAAACAATTTAATCATGATCCCAGTTTTGAGAGTAGTGAAGTGTCTGGCATATACCCCTAAACACCAAGGCTTAACTTCAGCCTTCCCTTAACCAATACTCAAATCTTTTTCACCTTTTCTGGCTTTTGAAATCTCAAATGAGAATTTAGAGAGATGTAGCTCTATTTCTGAAAGGTTCATGCCACGTGGCTTTATTTCCCATATGGAAAATATTAAGTTTTGGATAATTTAAATTCTAATCTCCTTTATCTTAGTTTTTAAAAATGCTAAAAAGTTACCATATAAAATGATCTTCAGTGTTCTTTCAGGCACAGATTTAAAAAAATCTCCTATTTAATATTTATTTGTCATCCTCTGTTAAATGCACAAATTGTACTTCTCCCTTTTGCTTTTATTCAGTCTGTTTTGAATGCTCCAAGTACCTTTCCTGTTCAGAGCATGAGGGGCATTTCTGTCAAATGGGAAATCCTTCTTACTCTGTAAGGGAACGTCTTTGTTCTCATGGACAATGTGCTTACATGACTCCCTCCCTGATCCTTGTAGGTACCATGGCTGAGGAGATCCGGCCTGCCGTACTAGAGAGACAGCAAGGCTCTCTCTACACACTCTTCCCTGACCATTCTGTGATAAAACAGTTTGACCAGGTGGACATCTCTAATGGACTGGATTGGTCACTGGATCACAAAACTTTCTTCTACATCGACAGCCTATCCTACTCTGTGGATGCCTTTGACTATGACTTGCAAACAGGAAAAATCTGTATGAATTATTTTCTTGTTTAAATATTTTAAAGCTTCTTTGTGCAGTTCTCTTTCTTTCAATTATTAAGCAAAAAAAGAAATTATGATCTACCTGCACTTGCAGTCCTGGGATGCGCTTTAGAGTTATCTTAAATATAACTGGGTTTAATGGATCACAAACCTGTTTAAAACAAGTTAGCATCTTAACTTGTTTTTAAGTAGATTCCTGGTTCAAAGCAGATAGGTGGGTTGGCCGTATTATTATGGAGTGTATTGATTTATCTGTGATGCTTCAAATACTGATCAGGATTAATTGTGAAGATCAGTGTAACACATTGTAATTTATGCTGCAATCTTAACATTCATGAATTTACACACTCAATCCACTTCTAATGGTTTTATGTTGTAAAGCTGGATCACATTTGCTCTGCCAGACTCCAGTGAGTGCCTGTTGCTAGGAAATAGTTGGTGAATTGGCAGAGAAGTTTGATGTCTGTGTTTTCAAAGTACCTTTGCTATGTTTTTATAGTTGTGTGTGTATATATTGTTTTAAAATGGAAATCCCTGTCTGAGGGAGATCCTGAACATCCAAGCAACAGTCAAAAAACTTAACTCTCCTTGTCCCCTATGAAATTAAAAACTTTGGGGCTTTCCTGAGCTTGGGCAAATGAAAAATTCAACCAGTCCACCAACAACTTGCTTTATAGGAACACCATCAATTCATAACGTCATTTTGAAAACTGAGTATGATATAGTTTAAGAAAGTGTTCCCAACCTTGTTAGATTCTAGGCACCCATCAGAAAATGCCAGCTCTTAGTTTTTCATTTTTTTTTAAATATGGAAAAATAATAGAGCAATTTTTCTGTTAAAAAGAACTCAAAGACCACAACAGGTCAGAATGCTTTTGACATTATGGATTCCTATTTGAAATCTCTGGGTTTATCTTGTGACTCCTAGGTAGGTGTTTTCACACCTAATAATGCTAATATTGTGCTTAAGAAGATTTTATGGCATCCCAGGGAATGGTAGAACCCTGATTGAGAATAATTGGTTTAAGATACAAGTCCCACTACCATAAGGGTTAGAATTGGTGTTTTCCTATAATAAAAATGTTGTCTTCCTCTTTTTCTATGTGGAAAGTCCCACTCAGATAGAGGAAGCAAAGTAAAAACTGAATACATATGAGAAATGCTGAAATTGCTGAAACAGATTAGAAAAGTTGGATTTTCTTTCCTTTTCTATGGTTTCTTATAACAATAGTTAATACAAGTTCAAGAGAAGTACATGTTTAAAGTGTAAGCGTGCCATTTTCAAGTTAATGTCTTTTCCCACTTTTTTTGTTGGTTTACTTATTTTGAATATCAGATTTGTGTTGGAGTGGCAGTTAGTTGTGTTTCAAGAATCTCCTGGAGGTAGCTCCAATTTCTCAGTTTAATTAAAAGAGTCTGTTTTTTAAATGTCCCAGCCTGGTTCCAAGATGTCATTCAAAGGTAAAACAGTAATATTTGGAATCCACAAATATACTAGTTATAGTAATGTGATGACTCCTCAAAAGAGAGCACTGAAAATAATCATGGTTTTTTGAAAGTCAGAAACTGACCTACAGGCTGCCATGCTGAACAACCACTGTTGCTAGAAACCAGTTAAGCAGTGGCAGTGATCTGTATACTTTTCTGTCACTTGAAAAAGCTCACATATTTCAGCCAATATAGCTTTAGAAGATTTAGAAAAACTGATGCGGGTTATGGCTGAGGAAAGTGTTAACTCATCATTAAATTAATGCCTCATTCTAAATCTGTGATTCTCACTGGTTTTTATTTTCTTTTGCAGCCAATCGCAGAAGCATATATAAGCTGGAAAAAGAAGAAAGCATCCCAGATGGAATGTGTATTGATATAGAAGGCAAACTCTGGGTAGCCTGTTATGATGGAGGGAGGGTGATCCGTCTTGACCCTGAAACAGGTACGGTCTCATGAAGGAATTTTGCATTCCAGTTCATCCTTCTGGTCCTAGAAAGCCTTGTCTATGCCAGTGGGCTCTTTTCAACACTAATTTTGTTAGCAAATCTGCAGCCTCTTGGCACTAGGAAAAAAAAAAAGGGCAAAATGCTATGATTTGAAAGCATTTAAATGATATAAGTGGATATTATGTCACATTTACCATGCTAGTTGTATCGGAGAAGATTTCTATATGAAATAAGAAGCTGAAGATGCTTCTCTAATCCTGTTCTTGACACATTGCTGATCCACTGAAGAGTTCTGATGCAACCTGTCTTATATGTAATATAGAAATTAGTACACTATAATGCTACAACAGGAGAATAGAGGAAAGAAGAGTAATTTACACATTGAAGAGCTGGCATAAGCACTACTTAATTTTGGCATTAGAGGACAGCATAGCTGAACTGAGCTTATCTTCCTATTTTTGTTGGCCTCTGTATGCCAAACCATTCGAATTAGCAGCCTCTGACATTTTTCCGGTCAGAGACCTGTACTTATTGTGTTGGTAAGTGACTCTGAAGAAGGATCAAGCAGTGAAGTGATGACCTTTTTTAAAGGTGACACTTTATTTTTGAAGGCTGTTCCAGGCTTACTGACATTCCACACACATTTAATGTCTGCAGAAATGTGACAATTTACACCATTTATAGAAATTATTATTATTTATTTATTTACAAAATCACCATGTTTTACCTTTCTTGCTTGAATAATTCTGTGTGTGTGCATGTGAACCCCATTTTTAGTTAG